AATTTTGAACCATGCAGTGTTCCCTTGCTCTGTTCTGATGACTGCCTCCTGGTTTAAGTATAAGTTTCGCATTAGAATGATCAAGTGTTCTGGGACTCCCATTCTTCTCAGAGTCAGCCATAGTTTGTTATGATCTACACAGTCAAATTATCTGATCTAAAATGTCTGTAGTTCTAAAGCAGAGAAACCCTTCTCTAAGGAAAATTGATCCTGGTTGACTTCCTGCCCTCACCAGTGGAGGCTTTCCTTTGGGGGTCTTCCCAAGACCTAAAGGAAAGTTGGCTAGAACGGGATCAAGGCTTGACAGTGTTTGGTTGAGTTCGCAGTTTAAGACAGATTTGGAAGCAGGAGTGGCATCCACTTCCTAAACAACATGCCTCTAGAAACTCTATGAACTTTGAGAAACGGCAATAGGCTTCATGTCTTTTGTTCATAGGGTCGCTATGAGTTGTACTTGACTCGACAGAAATCAACAACAAATGTCCTTTTTGCTACAAAGTGTGATATGCTTCAGTCTTAACTACAGGCTCTGTCTTGGTTTGAGCTGTACATTTTATAAATAAAAGAGATCTAGTCCAACTTCTTTTTATGGATAAGAAAACTAAGGCCTCTCAGAGGTTTAAGTGAGGTATTTAAAGCCTAATTGAGTCAGTATTGGTGCCCACGTATTCCCAGCTTGACACAGTCGTGCTAACAACTTTAAATACTTCTAGACTTCTTCCTCTCTTCTTAAATAACAAGTATGAGTTTGACAAAATCAGAATAGCAAAGCCAACAAAGTGAACCTGAATGGTCTTAGTCCCTCTTTCTGTTGAAATGAGAGGGAAAATATCTCCTTCCAAAGGGTATTTTGAGGATATCATGAGAACACATGTACAAAGCATAACGATACTGAATTGTGAGCAATCCCTTCCTACCAAACTGAGTTTTTCAAGGCCTTGAAGATGTGTGCCTTCTCTCAAAGTCATCTCAACTCCGTCCTCCTAACCCTCGGTCAGTGAATGGACGTCCTCAAGGGACAGAGAGAAGTCACAGGAAAGCTTTCAGAAGTGCCTCCATCCCCTCACTAAATGCGGAGTGCAGACAAAGCTCCAAAATGTGTTTTCTCTGTGTTGAATTCCTTTCAAACATGCATAACATCTATAAGGGTAAGGTGGAGGATGTAGCTAAGGTTAAATCTTCACTAACTCCAAGAACGCTGGGTGGATGGAGGCAGCCAGAGCGCACAGCAGCAGAAACGCTGGGGTTCAGCCACAGTCCTTCACCAGCTACAGGACCACACGTAGACACTGAATCCCAGAATCTCCTTCATCTGTAAAGTCGGGATAAAAGGCATCCTGTCAACCTCACAAAACCAGTGAGCATCGACTGAGTTAGCCTGGGCATGTTTTTTTGTAAACTCAAAAGCGTAACACCCATGTTGTTGTTGTTGTGTACCATCGAGTCTGAATTGACTCATAGCTGACTCTCCGATGGGTTTTCACAAGCAGTAAATCACACTGGAGGAGGTTGCCCATCTTTCTAACCTTGGAGCAGCCAGAGGGTTCAAATCACACGTCCTCGTGTTGGCAGTGCACCCTCACCACTAAGCCAGCAGAGCCCCTTTAAGCCCGTGAGAGATTGCTCACCTCTCTAGAGAAAAAGAACCCCTAAGACGTATAATAAATAGACAGGCAGGAAAGAGACCCATTTAAGTTCACTTCATTCAATTGCATTTCACAGGTTCTGCATTTTTCACAAATTAAAGCTTTGGGGCAAACTTGCATCAAGCACACAAGCCTATTGGCTCCATTTTCCCAACAAAATGTGCTCCCTTCATGTCTCTGTGCTACATTT